CTAGTGTTTTAGGTGATGTACTGAAATTGTTAGAAGAATGAAGCCTGTCATTCTGCAGTCCTCGTTCTCTCTTTCTGGCTCAATCATTGGAGTGCACAACAAGGATATCGTTGTGGCTGCTGGTTATAGGAAAGCCCAGGCAGGTGGCCTAAACGCTGCTGAGGCCCAATTGGGTGTTCGTGTTGAGTTGGATGTGAGGCACACAGACAACGAAAATCGTCTACATCAAATGTCTGCTGATCACACAGTGTTCCTTTGCAGTGGCAGTTTCGGAACGCCGGGAACCGCTTGACGACGCGGTGCCCACCGAAGAACCGGCACCGGATTCAAATAGGCCGTATCACTGTCAGTTACCGGTGGCGAGGATTGGTCACTGTCTATCTCTCCCTCTCGAACACCAGCGTGGAATCCAATCGTGCACTTTTCCGTTACTATATGCGCAAAACGTGTATACCGCGCTTAGCCATTGAAAAGCTAGTGGACCAGCAATCAGACGAATTTGTCTTAACTGGATCGTCGAACACCTGGTCGTCTGTTGTCGAATAGTAAAGGCCAGTTGTAACAAATATCCACAGTGCTACTTACAGCCAGAACTTCCATCTGCGGTATAAACCAGCCAACGTCATCCAAATATTGGGATCGTGGCTTTGCTGGAGGTCGGGTGACAGATTCCTCCTGGACGCAAGGTCAGATTCCTGAAAGCAACCTCAGAACGNACCCGAGACAGCTCAGTGGTTAGAGTGCGAATTTTCAGACCGCAATGTCCGTGGTTCCAACCCGACTTCTGCATTTCTACTTCTGTCTAGGCCTGGACAATTTGGTAATATCCCAGCCCTCGGGCTTCCTTCGGGTGGCATGTCAGCTGGGCTGAACGGTTGTTATTATTACCGACGCATCATCCGACACCAAATAAAACTGTCCATGCAGTCCGAGAACCTCTGGGCTCGAAAGACCGAAGAAATGGAAGGTGCGAAAAATACTGGAAACGTCCACAGGTTGTTCCACCTGATCCGTTCGACTGTTCCTCAGAAGCCTCTTGTCAGCGGAACTCAGGGCCCAAAATTGCTCCGATATCCAGCAAACAAGAATGTTTGGATCTTTCGGCACAGTGCTTCGAACGGAAATATAGTTGGTTAACTGCTACCTCTAATCCTGACTGTACGTCCTAAACAGAAAGAGTGAGCTGTGAACATGAAACGCCGTCTGGCCTCAGAAGTGTCCAAGTGTATATCCACTCAAGCTGCATCATGCTGGTGATCATGACCTCTCGGTCGCTCTGTTTGAGGCTGTTGGTGAATTCCTCAGCCAGTGCCTGACTAGCCTAGTTGCGTCTATCTGGGAGAAAGAGGTACTCGGAATGAATGGAATGACTACAGGGGTGTTAGTTGAACTCCGGTTGTAACAAGACTTTTGGTGTCACTGATTCTCCGTTATCTTGCGGTGGCGCGCAAAACCTGTGATCATCAAGCGGGATTTCGATTGCTCGGCAGTTGCGTTCACCGCACTTTCAAACTCCTCCAGGCTTTAGAGCAATGCCACATGTGCAAACGACCCTTGACTTCAAGGGCGCGTTCAATTCTGTCGATCGATCAGTGCTTCTGAAAATTTTGCTAAACAGGGTACGCCTCAGAATTTTGTGAACATAATCCCATATTCACACGCCTTCGGGCTTGTGAGAGTGTATGGTGAGCTCTCCAAAAGCTTCCCCACAAAACGTTGTGTCCGACAAAGATGTTCACTCTCTCCATTCTTGTTGAGCTTCGTCTTTGCTGAAATAATGAGGCGAACATATTTGTGTCTATATTGAAGAAAAAGAACTTCTTAGACAACTGAGGTGGGTCAGTAATAATGCCCGTTTTCAAAAATGGGGCTATGAAGGAATGTGGTAAACACAGGGTTGTCAGTTTGACTCCCTTTGTAACAAGGTTTTTGGCGTCACTGTGTCTTAGTCTTACGGTGGCAAGTGATTTCTTGGCCCTTGAGCTGTTAGCAGTAAATCTTCACAATCCGTCAGATATTAGAGAAACGCTGCATGTACAGACGACCCAGAATCTTGATGTTCCTTGGCTTCAACTGTGTTCGACTCTATCGATCGGTCAGCGCTGTTAACCACACTTGCTCGACAGGGTATGCTGCAGACGTTTGTGGACACAGTCTGGTTCCTGTATGCACATACATCCTGCAATCTGATAAGCCAAAAGCTCCCCTACAAAGCTTGGTGTTCGACAAGGACGCCCACACCCTCCATTCTCGTTTAGCTTCGTCGTTGGAGAAATAATGAGGCTAACGCTGCAAGGTCCTCAAAACCCTTATGTTCAACTTGTTACTGGTGAGAGCCTTGTCTATTTGGAGTACACAGACGACGTCGCCTTCTCCTTTGAAGACAAAGGCGCTGCTTAATAAACCAGTCACCATACCATCTTTCGGCATAGCCCAGCACCCTCAAAGTGCAAGGTCATGCTTCATAACGTTCAGTTTATGAACATACCCATTATAATCCAAGGAGAATTATGGAGGTTGTGGAGAGTCTTACATACCTCAGTAGGTATTATTCCTCATGAAAGTGTGTCTGATAAGGTCAGCGCACTAATCTTAAAGACCCGAATTGCTGTTGCCAACTTGCGTCGCTTGTGGCTTCAAAAAGGCATATCACTGGGTCTCAGGGGTCGCGTATACCAAGCTACAGTAAGAGTCGTATTGCTGTATGCTAGCGAAACATGGACTATGAGGACAGACGATGTGAGGCATCTTCAGGTTTTTGACCACCAACGCCCGAAAGGCGTTGATGGTGTCGGATGACGCCAACAAATTTGTAACGAGGCAATCATAGAACGGGTGTTTGGTTGTGCAGCAGGTACTTCAGTCGCAAAAAACATCCAGCAACATCGATTACGGTGGCTCGGTCATGTGGTACGCCTGCCGAAGCGTCGTCTACTGGGATGAGTGTTGTTCTCCGTGCCTTTTTCAGAATGGTAGAAACCGCGTGGTGGACAACGCATGGCAGAAGGGTATGCAAAAGATTACAAAGAGTTTGGTGTTGTCGGTCCGGATGACCTTTCACCCGCACTGTTCAAAGACGGGGGTGAAGTCCTCAGTCAGCGCTTGTCCGATCTGTTTGCTTGCATTTGGGAAAAGGAGTCTGTCCCAGACAACTGGGGAGAATCGGTGATAGTGCCCATTTTCAAAAAAAGGGGTGCGTAGTGAGTGTGGTAACCACAGGGGGATCAGCTTGTCCCCGGTTGTAACGAGACTGTTGGCGTCAATTGTGCTTCGTCGCCTTACGGTGGC